TAGTTTTAGCTCTTACATTCAGGCCTTTGATTCAGATTAACTTAATTTTTATATGTGGAATGAAGGTCCATCTTTGTTCTTTGCTTGTGAATATCCAGTTGTTCTTGGCACCATTTCTGTAGAAAACATTGTTCACTCCCCCAGTGAATTACCTTGGCACTCTAGTCCAGAATTAATTAACCATTAATGTATGGACTTATTTCTGGACTCAGTCCTATTCTATTGATCTAAATGTCTAGACTTTTACCAATACCACACGGTCTTGGTTGTTGCAGCTTTGAAGTAAGCTTTGACATCTGAAAGTGTGAATTCTTTTATGTCCCCCCCCCCAAAAAAAAAAAAAGTTATTTTGGCTATTCTGGATTGCTTACCATGTTCATAGGAAATTTAGGATTACTTTGTCAGTTTTTGGGGAAAATGCAGTTTGAATTTTGATAGGATTGCATTGAGTCTGTAGACCAATTTGGGGAGTATTGCCACCTTAGCAATATTAAATCTTCCAGTCTGTGAACATAATCTTTCCATTTATTTGGGTCTTCTTTATTTTAATGATGTTTGTAATTTTTAGTATTCAGAATTTGTCTTTTGTCAGAGATATCCCTAAGTATATTTTTCCTTTTGATGCTATTGTAAGTGAAATTGTTTTCTTAATTTAAGTTTTAGATTGTTCATTGCTAGTGATAGAAATATAATTCATTTTTGTTTATTGATCATTTGCCTCTAGACTGCCAAACATTTTTTCTCTTCATTCAGGTAGTTCCCTGAAATCGCAATTGTCATGAAAAGTCTGCCAATTTATTCAACTTGCTTATTTCTTTTTTGAGGACCTTTTTTTTTTTTTTTTTCTTAACAGGCAGGCTTGAGTTGCATCATTACCAAGCTATTTTCCGTCTAATAATATGTCTTCAAACATTTGGGTACTTGTTAAAAGCCTCTGTAAACAAATTGTTAACCATCTGCTTTTCTGTGTGGTCTGTATGAGCCAATATCTTATCACTGCGGGCAGATATTTCATTAAAATAAAGATCTAGGAAGCTGGAGGATAACCTGTGGAGAATTCTCCTCCTGCCAGCTCCCTGCTCCATCCCTCCTCACTAATAGATGGGAATTACAATTCGGGTCTGTTCTGAAAAACACCCTGTTTCAAGTCAAGTACTTAATCCACTTCCTTACGTCCTGTCCCTGGTTATTTAGTTAATACGTTGCTTAGTTGCCTGCTCTGGTCTTACACATGTCCCATGCCCGATCTCTAAAGCTTGGCCTGGGTCCCTGATTAACCTGCTGCTGAGATTGATCTCCCACATCCCTTGGCTGATGCTTTGGTGTTCTGGACTACTCAGCTAGTCTGATTTCTTCTCTCACCGTGCCTCTTAGACATTATTTGTGCTGGTCTTATCCCATCTCCCCTCAGCTTGCAAGTGTAATTAGTGTTAGTGAGCTTTTTGGCCATGCTTTCTTTCTCATCCTGCAGTCTAAAACTTTGCAATTTGTGCAGCCTTAATGGGTCATGCATTTATATGGCACGTGCGGTGTTAAGAATAGTGATATTTATATGCCCCTTAAAGCTTCCTGCAGTCTCTTTTGCACAGGTTTCTCCTGTCCTCTGTCTCCCCTCCTTGCCCCAGTGCCTTCTTGCTAATATAACTGTATACGGAAACTTTCCCAAGTGTAAGGAAATTACAATAAATTATTATCAGTTTTTTCTGTCATTGTGTATATTATGGGACCTCTACTTTAATAACATTTAGAAAGTATTTGATGCTCCATCAAGCTTGGTGAAATGATTTTTAGAAAATTATTATATATTACTGTGTGTGTGTGTGTGTGTGTGTGTGTCTTTTTAAAAATATATTTTATTGATTTTTGTACAGAGAGGAAGGGAGAGAGATAGAGAGTTAGAAACATCAATGAGAGAGAGTCATCGATCAGCTGCCTCTTGCACACCCCTTACTGGGGATATGCCCGCAACCAAGGTACATGCTCTTGACCGGAATCGAACCCGAGTCCCTTCAGTCCCCAAGCCGACGCTCTATCCACTGAGCCAAACCGGTTTCGGCTGTGTGTGTGTTTTAAAGATAGTTTATTGATTTTTAGAGAGAGAGAAGAGAAACACTGATGTGAAAGCACCATATCAATCAGCTGCTTCCCATACCCCTTCTCCTCCTACCCCCCCCCCCCCGCCCGCCCAAGAAATCGAGCCCCCAATCCGGGCATGTGCCCTTGACTGAGAATCTAACCGGCAACCTCCTGGTGCACAGGATGATGCCCAACCAACTGAGCCACACTGGCTGGCTGGGGTCATATACCTGGTTTTTGATGATAATAATTATATTCAGTCTTTAAAAATTTTCATTGTCTGCATGCTAGTTTTTGCCATCGTGGCTGTTTAATGTTTTTAGGATGTTAATGGCATGGGAGTCATTCCTGTTCAGAAGCCAATTCAAATTTACAGAAATATGTAAATGATTTATAACTACTAAATTTTAAAAAATGGGTTTCGGATGCTCTTGTGATTTCTGTCTTTGGTTGGATTGGACATCAGAAATTTTAGTCCTTTCACCCTGATCCAAGAGGATGTATAAGCAAATAAAAGTTGCTGCTGTTACCATTATTTGTAGAGTTTATTGATTTAACTCTGTGGGGGACACATTCGAATGCAGTTAGCTGTGTTTTACAAAAGAACAATTTGTTAAGCCTAAAGAGGTAAAGTATAATTTTGTGTATGATCTTTGCTGGTGTTAATAATGCCAGTGCACATTGGTTTCTGCTGGTGAAATGCTGTTACACTTGGTTCTTTTAGTGCTGTGTTTTTCTTTGAGTAGCTCATTACAAAGAAAATTTTAAGAATTTTAAGTTATTTTATTCTATTTTTTGAGCTAGGTGAATCTTTCTAAATCAGTTTTTCAGGTTCATTTTCTATTCAGAGCTTTCAAAAATTGGAAGTAGAAAAGATCATTCATCACCCTCACACATTTTAAAAGAACTGCCCAAATTAGGGGATTATATGTGATAAAAATCTTTTTTATGGTCCAGGGTCCATAAATAAGAACTATTAAGAACTGTGAGGAACAGAAAAGTGTTGTGTGTGTGTTGCCAATCAGTGTCCCAGAATGAAGGCATTAGAGGCCTGAACTTGAGTTCTACTTTCTGTGTAAGAGCGATCCCTCCTCCCCGCCTCGGCTCACACCCTGAGCCTCAATGCTCCTACTATTCCCATACATGTACACGTCTGGTCTAGGTGAGGTTGCAGAGGATCTGTGAACCCCTAAATTAAGGCATTCTATTTACACATTTATTGTATCTAAAATTATTTGCAATTATATCTATAAATGACACTTAGGCATTTTTTTCCCCTTTAAAATGAGTATTAGCCTGGCTGGTGAGGCTCAGTGGTTGAGCTTCGACCTATGAACCAGGAGGTCACGGTTCGATTCCCAGTGGTGGCACATGCCGGGGTTGTGGGTGGATTCCTGGTGTGGGCCTGCAGGAGGCAGCTGATCAGTGATTCTCTCTCATCACTGATGTTTCTTCTCTCTCTCTCCCTTTCTCTTCCTCAGTAAAATAAAAGAAAGTATTAAATAGTATTAATCTGATGTAAAACTTTGTCTTCTGTCTCTTCCATCACCTCCTTCCAACCCTGCTTTCCAAAGGCAGACACTTTGAATTCTTTCCTCTTAGTAATGTGTTGCTCATTGCTTGTCTCTAGTACCTTGAATAGCGTCTGCTTGAACACCTAATATCTCTTGGTTGAATGAATGAAAGGTTGTCCTTTCCCTGTTTCCATCTTGTTGGTTTATTATGCAATTGTGAGTTGAATATCAGATGGCATTGCTCTACCATCTTATCATACAATGTTGCTCTTCACATGTGATTCCACTAAGTCTAGTTTTTTTGCACGTGACCTATTTTTCCTTTCTGCAGATTTTTGTGATCCTCTCATGTGATCACTTAAAACATTAATTATGCTGGGAATTAAATCTAGACATTCATCTTGCTCAATAAGGGGAAATCTTCTAGAATCATTTCTTTGAGAGGTCTTCCCTCTCCCTTGTCTCCCCTAAAAAAGGTAAAGAAAAATGTTTTTTCTCTGTTAGTTCTTTCTGGAATCTTATTAGTAGCATGTTGAACTTCATGAATGTTGTTTATTTAAAAAAACAAACTATTATTATTAATTAATTTACTTTTAATCCTCACCCAAGGACATTTTTCCTTTTTTTTTTGTTTTGTTTAGAGAGAGAGTGGAAGAGAGAGGGCAAGACAGAGAGAAACATAGATGTGAGAGAAACACATTGATTGGTTGCCTCTTGTATGTGCCCTGACCAGGGCCTGGGCCAGGGAAGAGCCTGCAACCAAGGTACATACCCTGGCTGGGATTGAATCCGGGACCCTTTGCACTGCAGGCCAAAGCTTTATCCACTGAACCAAACCGGCGAGGGCAGTGTTTTTTATTTTTTTAAATTTAAGTTATTTATCTCTTTGTCTTAATGTTATAATTTCTGGGAGATTTTCTTAGCATTATCTTCTAATCCTTCTATTAGTTTTTTACTTGTGTTTTCTAATTTGAAATGTGTTATCCTGTTTCTTGTTTTCTGATTATTCTCTCTTTTGGTGCATAGAAAAATGCTTCAACCAACCGAGCCACCCCAGCAGGGCTGATTATTCTCTTCTTAAATAGAGTACCCTTGTTGTTACTGTTTTGTAGACTTCCAACCCTTTCCTCTTGTTATTTAGCTTTTGCCCACTCCTCTTCCTCACAACACTTGGTGTCTTTTCTGAGCTACTCTGCCAGGGCCCATCTGCCATTTTTAAATTGCACCTCTTCTTCCTTTGAAGCTGTGCCACTTAATTGTATGATTGTAATTCAAAGGAAACGTTAAATATGTACATTTAACATTAATGATATAAAGAAAATATTGAATGAAAGTTTTTTTTTCCCTCTCTTAATATCCAGATAGATATTGTGCTGTGTGTAATGAATTCTTTGAATTTTATTTGTGTAGAAGAAATTGAGGAAGAATCTGAAACAACCATTGAGCCCGACTTGACTGATAAACAGAAACATCAGTTGAAACATAGGGAACTCTTTTTGTCTCGCCAATATGAATCTCTGCCTGCAACACACATCAGGTAAGAACTTTTTAAGAGTTATTTGAAGTATTCAGCAATATCACGACAATTAAAAAAACAAACAACCCAAACAACCTCTTGGAAGCATTTCCCAAACTCTGCTCATGATCTTGCTCAAGTTAGTTTACTAAATACTTCATAATGGAATATTATCTTGAAAATTTACGGTGTGTCTTAGCATATTAAGCCCTGAGAATGTTCTGTAGTAAAGTAACCAATTACCTTTATTTTAATCCTGACTTTCCAACTTATTTGGGTATCTATTAGCATCCTGTATAAAAGTGTCTAAGAGCCTAATTGGTTAGGCTCAGTGGATAGAGCATCAGCCCGTGGACTCAAGGTTCCCAGGTTCTATTCATGCCAAGGGCATGTACCTTGGTTGTAGGCACATCCCCAGTAGGGGGTGTGCAGGGGGCAGCTGATCGATGTTTCTCTCTTATCAATGTTTTTAACTCTCTATCCCTCTCCCTTCCTCTCTGTAAAAATTCAATAAAATATATTTAAAAAAATTTTTTTAAGTGTCTAGAAGACATCCTGCATTTTGGGAAATGCAGGTCTTTTTCAGAGTCCTTATAGAGCAGTGGTTCTGAGCCTTCCTAATGCAGTTCCTCATGTTGTGGTGACCCCCAACCATAAAATTATTTTCGTTGCTACTTCATAACTATAATTTTGCTACTGTTATGAATTGTAATGTAAATATCTGTGTTTTCCGATGGTCTTAGGCCACCCTGCTAGCAGTTTTTAACCTGTGGTAACATTTAAGCTATTTCTTAGTGTAGTTTATAATGTAGAGTCCTAGAGGGCCAGTGCATGAAATTTGTGCACGGATGCCATCCTTGGGCCCGGCCAGTGATGGAAGCATGAATGTTTGGCATGGAATGGCAGGTCCCAGCTGACCTCTGGGCCTTGGGAAGTACCTTAGCCCCCGGGCCCCAGCACACCCCCCTCCACCTGAGTCATCAGGCCCCCACCTGGCTCCCTCAGTGCCTGGAGCCGAGTTGTAGCCCTGGCTCCCCCTCCGCCCCATTCCCTGCCACTGCCGCTAGTCACTGTCTGCGGGGTGATTGGGGGGGCTATCAGGCTCCACTTTCACCTGCCTTGGCCTGGTGCCACCCGCTCACCTGCTCCATCATCCCACTGTGGTCCCGCTCTTGGGGCTCATTGGGGCCCCATTGGGGCCAGCAGAACCTGCACTGCTGCCTACTGCCAGGGCTGCGTAGCAGACCCCCACCATGTTCCGCACTGCCTCCTGGTGGTCAGTGCACATCATAGCAAGCAATTGAACTCCCAGTTGAGGGGGTAATTTGCATATATTTTATTATACAGAATAGGATTAGAATCCAACAACTAAAACCCAAGTTCTGGTTCCTAAGCAGGTGACCTTTGACCCTATAGAGTATATAGCCTTTTATTTTTCTTTTGAGGACCTTGGGCTGAAAACTTTATTTTATTATTTATTTATTTATTTAAAATACATTTTATTTTTTACAGAGAGGAATGGAGAAGGATAGAGTTAGAAACATCAATGAGAGAGAAACATCGATCAGCTGCCTCCTGCACACCCCTACTGGGAATGTGCCTGCAACCAAGGTACCTGCCCTTGACCAGAATCGAATCTTGGACCCTTCAGTCTGAAGGCCAATGCTCTATCTACTGAGCCAAACTGGTTTGGGCTGGGCTGGAAACTTTTTATTCTTTATTACTTGCATCCGCTTCGTGCATTAATAGGTTGTAAACGTGAGAAATTCAGTCTTGGTTTGTAGTTTGGGAAGTTGTGGAGGAATGATGGTGGTTTTATATGATCTGCTGATAGTGGTAAACATTTAAGCATTCACAGTTAAGCTATTTCTCAGTATAATTTATAATAGGTGCATCTTGGCGGTATAACAAAATGTTTGAACTAAAACAGGTAGTTACACACCTTCAGGAACAGGAAAGCTTGGAGAGTTGGCATTTACTCAGCCTTTGAGATACTATGGGGCATGTTTCAGGTGGAAGAAACATGTGGGCATAGAAGTGGAGGGAGCAGAATGTGTCCAGGGTGATAGGTGTGAGGAAATGCATCTTTGACCACATGGGGGCAGCCATCTTGTGTGTTGGAGTGATGGTCAATTTGCATATTACTCTTTTATTAAATTCAGATAGGATTACCCCTCCTCTTTAGACTCCAATTCAGTATTGAATTTAAATCTGCCTTTTTGGGATTAGATAGACTTGATTTGGCCCTTGTAACCAATACACACACACACACACACACACACACACACACACACCCCTCAACCCCAAAAAACCTCTTTTCAAAGTAGACATAGAGATCTTTTAAGGCAGGACATGTATGACAAAGATACTATAATTTTCCCCCAAGTCTTTTAAGAAATGTCTTGATTACCCCCTCAATATAATAAGTTAACCTTTTATTTTTGGTTTATTTAGTTTTTGGTGTTTTTATTTATTTTATTTTTTTAGGGAACACTGTGTTGAGATCAGCTACAGTTAGTATATTCTGTGTCAATTAGATTTTTTGCTGAAAAAGATAATTAGGCAGGTAATTTGGGTAGTCATTTTACCCACCAATTTGGGGTATTTCAGGAATTAGGAGAGTAAGTTCATTTTTGCTCAAAGAGATGGAATATAAAAACATTTAATACATTTCTTACAGATGCATGGAACTAATAAATGCTAAAGAGCCATATGAACTGATTATTTAATTGGAAGAAGTTAGAATGTAGAAATTCATTTTAAGCTTAAGAAGTTATGTGGCCAGTTTTAAGAATTTTGCCAGTACAAGAATGTGACAAATGGTTTTTAAAATGTAACCAAAACACACAAGTATATTTTTAATTTACCCTCCTGATAGCTTAAAATCTGTTAACAAGTAATGCTAGTTTCCTTTAACAGATTGCTTGGAATGGAAAAAGTGATGTGTTTTTCATCTTTCATAAGGACTGAGAGAGTATATTGAAATATAATTTTCAAGAAACTTCTGTGTTGAGCATAGAAATTACATACTATGTGTGATCAGTCACCGTTGAACACATTTCCTGAGAATATTCTAGATTGGGTAGTTTACTAGGTGCTTGGTAAGTAAGACAAGTCCCTAGCTCATAAACTCAAGAAGGAGTTTATCAGGTGGCAGTTCTTTTGAATTATGATGGAGACACAGGCATGTGGGGCCTTGTTTTCTTCCCCAAGTTGAAAGGGACATCTGTAGCTTTCATCTTTGAACAGCTGATGGGGTCCGGGGCAGTCTCTGGCCAAAGCATGGGCTTTGCTGACCAGCCCGCATGCTGATGTGGAACACGGGCATGGTGAATGCGATCTTGACATTTTCCTGCGGTGGAAGCATGCCCTGTCTACTGTTTCTGCTATAACAGGAGGAAGTCACGGAAGCCCCATTGTTGTTTGGCAGCAAAGAGGACTCATTTGGTGAACGTTGGCTTTTACTTCTCAGGAACATTATCACATGCCCAGATTTTCCTTGTGCCATATGGAGCATAAGAGAAAACCTGACGGAGGCATTCCGCAGGTTCTTGGTGGTTTGTGAGCTATAGTTCTGTAGTGTGAGATGCTGTGAGCTTCTCAGAGTGACAGGGAAGCAGCTCTTTGTTCCTTCTGATTCCATGATTCCCCTGAAAGAGGGAGATCTGGGCAGTTCTGGGTAGAGGTAGTGTTCCAGCTCTTGTTGGGAGGTACATAGGACTTGAGCAATGAGAATGCTTTGGGAACTTCTTTGTTTTGACAAAGGGATGAGGCAGCATGCTTCACTCAGTGTCTTAGGCCATTCATAATAAATTATATATGCTGCATACACCAATTTATAAAGCACATAAATGGATTGTTAATATCAGCTACAAGACCTGTTGTAAGTATATATACTACTATATTCAGTCATATGTAGCCCATGTTTATTGAACTTGGCTTTTAAAAAATCTAACACTTATTGAAGCTTAATGATCACCGTTATCTCACTTGCTTTACATATATCTTCTTTAATCCTCACAATGACTTGATTAACTAGGTCCTGTTATAACCCCAATTTTACAGATGAGGAGACTAAAGCACAAAAAAGTTAAGTAACTTGTCAGACTCACAGCTTTTTAAAAAATATATATAGTTTTATTGATTTCAGAGAGGAAGGGAGAGATAGAAACATCAATTATGAGAGAGAATCATTGATTGGTTGCCTCCTGCCTACTGGGGATCGAGCCTGCAACCAGGCATGTGCCATTGACTGGAATCGAACCTGGAACTCTTCAGTCCATAGACCACTGTCTATCCACTGAGCAAACCCAGCCAGGACTGGACTCTCAGCCTTTAAGTGGCAGATTCAGAAATTGAACCCAGACTCCCTGGTTGTGATGTGTACATGACTGTAAGTGTTGAAAAGCATCAGACATGGAAAGAAGCTATTAATAACTTGTTGACTAGATAGGCTCACCTTATAATTCCTCCACCCAACAGCACCAACATATTGGTGTATCATTAATACTTTTTCTCTTCTAATCTTAAATGTGTTGGATTTTGACCACATGTTGCTGGAATTTAACTTGGAGTGACAGTGTGTAGCTTCCTCTCTTGCTAAGTAATGCTTATCCTTCTGCACCACTATATCATCTTTGCTCTTCCTAGCTTCGTTGATTTGTTTTTAAATATGTGAGAAGTATGACTGGAAAATGAGTGATGGAACAGCAGGAGGAGGGGATGACAGTTAAATACAGGAAGGTTGTTCATTCTAGAAAGAATCCAAGTGTCACTGGCTTGGAATAGGCAAAGATTTTTAAGATTGTGAAGAGAGTCCATGTTTTCTTGATGTTTTGCTGTTTCACCTTTTGTATTTAAGTTTGTTTTATGTAGATGGTGTGAAGAGGGATCAGTTAGAAAACTAAGTTTAAAAAGATAACCATTTACAATATCATCAAAGAACACTGAATGAATACCTAGAAATAAATTTCAAGATGTTTGTAAAAGGTGAAAGATGTGTAAAAACTATTATAAAGTAC